TTTTTGTGAGTTAGAATTTTGTTCTACATTTTTCTCCAGCTCTGTCAGGGATCCTCTATTGTGATTCCTGTCAGAGCAGTCCGTGGTGGTAGCCAGGCACTGTCTAGTTGTGCTGAACTCAGTCTGGTGGAGGCTCTAGTACTTAAAACACAGGACATTTGGATGATGAACATTTTGTATCTTCTGTCAGCCTAAAATGTTTCATTTACTATAAAGCCAGAATATCTGATATCGGATTATATTGTGTTTTGTTTTTAGAATTTCTTGGATCACATTTGAATAAATCACTTAGAGGTAAGCTAGAAGTTGTAAACTGCTTTCGAGAGCTGTATATCTTAATATTACACTTTAGCAATATGTATGATCTTCCCTTCTACCTGTTATATTCTACCTGCAGTTAGTATAGGTAAAGAGGGCATTTAATTGTCAAGAGACTCATGAGGAGCCTGCATTAATCTGGAGGGTCTTTGAGGGCCTTCGAGACTCTAGGGTGGAGAGAGTGGGGCTGGGATCTATGGCTAGGTTGGAGCCAGTCTGGATGTTTGTGTGTATCTTGGGAGCAAACCTAAGAATACAAGGACGGAATGGCACCGGGGTGCCTCCAGGTCTAGCAAACCACCAAATCGAAATCCTAAGGTGGGAGGGATGCAGGCTTTAGCTGGGTGCTGAGCTGTTTTAACTGGCTAGATGTAAAGGTCATCTTTTTTTTTGAATGCCTGTAAGTAAGTTAAATGATTCTCTAATCCTTCTGCCTGCAGTTTAATGGAAAATTGCTGCAAGTTGTTGTTAGGTACTGTCGAGTCAGTTCCCACTCATAGTGACCCTGTGTACAACAGAACGAAGAAGTGTCCAGTCTTGCACCATTGTCACAATTTTTGCTATGTTAAAGGCCATTGTTGCAGCCTCTGTCAGTCCATCTCGTTAAGGGTCTTCCTCTTTTTCACTGACCCTCTACTTTACCAAGCATGATGTCCTTCTGTAGGGACTGGTCCCTCCTGATAATATGTTCAAAGTACATAAGACAAAGTCTCACCATTCTTGCTTCTAAGGAACATTCTATCTGTACTTCTTCAAGACAGATTTGTTTGTTCTCTCGCCAAATACCAAACCACACCCATTGCCGTCAAGTTGAGGCCGATTCATAGTGACCCTATAGGACAGAGTAGAACTGCCTCTAGGGTTTCCAAGGAGTGGCTGGTGGATTCAAATTGCCAGCCTTTTGGTTAGCAGTTGTAGCTGTTAACCATGAGCCACCGGTGCTCCGAACCACACCTGATGCCGTCGAGTTGATTCCGATTCATAGCCACCCTATAGGACAGAGCTGAAATGACCCATAGGGTTTCCACAGAGTGGCTAGTGGATTCAAACTGCCGACCTTTTGGGTTAGCAGCCAAGCTCTTAACTACTGTGCCACCAAGGCTTCTGTTCTTCTGGCAGTCCATGGTATATTCGGTATTCTTCACCAGCACCATAATTCAAAGGCGTCAATTTTTCTGTCTTCCTTATTCATTGTCCAGCTTTCACATGCATATGAGGTGATTGAAAATACCATGGCTTGGGTCAAGTGCACCTCACTCCTCAGAGTAATAGCTTTGCTTTTGAACATTTTAAACAGGTCTTTTGCAGCAGATTTGCCCAATGCAGTATGTTGTTTGATTTCTTCTGCTCCTTCCATGGGTGTTGATTGTGAATCTAAGTAAAATGAAATCCTTGACAACTTCAGTTTTTTCTCTGTTCATCATGATGTTGCTTATTGGTCCAGTTGTGAAGATTTTTGTTTTCTTTATGTTGAGGTGCAATCCATACTGAAGGCTGTAGTCTTTGATCTTCATGACTAAGTGCTTCAAGTCCTCTTTAAACAAGTAAG